GGGGAAGTGAGCGAGCGGCTGTGTCATGCCTAGTTGCTGGCTGGGGTTAAACCACAACATCATTGTATAGGGCTTACTGAGCTGAAGGCAGTGTGTATGCAGCCTGTAAATTAATACATTCTTGCTTGGTAAAGAATGTGTGCTGAGACAAGGTGTATTACCCAAGATGGAATTAAACTCAGAGAATCTTAAGAGTTACAATTATTAAAACTCAATTTCCAAATTTAGTAACTAGGGATTATTATAAAGACATTCCATCCAGTATTAGCTGTAAATATTTGGCAAACTATCAAGTCAAAATTGTTACATGATTAAAACATAGTTGTCAATAAAATCCTGAAGCTGTCTTTCATACAATTAATCACCTTAAGACAAGATCTTATTTTTGCTCCATGCAGTATCTACTGCATTATTAGGCAGTATATATATTGTATCAGTCATGGCCTGCATGCTGCAATGTTTTCTACAACGGACTATTAAAAAACCAACGCACTGAATAAGGACTGAAGCTACTGCACTTACAAATAAAATACTAAGTGGGGAGCCCACATATAAATCTGTACAGTAATATACCAGTAGAAGTACTTTATCCAGACCCAGCATATCAACAGTCAGCTAAATCTCACCTTCTTTTTTCTTCCGAATATCAAGCTAAGGCCAGAGAAGAAGTATAAATTGAGGGTAGGAAGGGGACTGAAGACTCCACAGCACTCTTACTGAACTAACTCAAGAACTTGGTGCCCAGTTCTAAAGGCAGGAGTAAGTCTTTGACAGAAAATACTCCCTCCCCCAGCACAGGGGCTATCTAATTTGATATGAAGTATTTCTCACAACATTTGAAAAAAGAATAAAAATATAATTTCATCACATGCACATACCCATAGCCTGTTTGCAAGAGGAAGGAAAGAAGGAACAAAACTAAGATGACTGACAAAAGTAGACTTAGAACAGCTTCAAATTATAATAGTCTGGCTGGGACTTACCTCCAACATCTCACTCAAACGCACATCAGTTCTTTGCTAAAAAAAATAAAAAAACCAACAGTGATAACTACACAGAAATGAAGAAAAATATTTTGCCACTGAACAAAAACAACTGTACATACCAGTGTTTTTATTGTTCTCAGAGACTTTAGCAGTCCAATAAGCAACTGTCGTTTCCTTTGATTTGCAAGAAGCCCCAAACTAGTTTGTGTAAAGCCTTCCTTTGCTATATTCAGGTGTCTGCAAAAGTTAAAAATGTACATAATCTTTGATGATATGTAAAATAAAGCTTATTTCTAATTCTAACATGTCCCTCAAAATACATGCTAGAAAATAAGACTGTCAGCACTGTTAGGGAAATCCAGAAATTAAGATGATACCAACAGACTACTAAGAAGGTAGGTTTTCCCTTCTCCAGAACTTGTCTGTGGATCAATAGTGTACCTCAAAAGGTTCCTGTTTTAAAGAGAACTCCCAATTGAAGTGAGAGCTGCAAGAGAGAAAGCTGCTGGTATTTGTTTCAGTATCTTTAACTACTATTGCTAATTCCATTCACTACATAAATAGGAAACATGATCAGCAAGCAAACTTCCTCGGTTTACAGATTTCTTCCTAAATATTTTTTCCCCCTTTCAATCTCTGCCGTTATTTAAGCAAGATACCTTCTTCCATTTGTGCAAATAACAGCTGCTAACTGAAGGCCAGTCTGCAATGATGTAACACGTTCAAGTTCCTACAGAGAGACAACAGGTTAAATAAATATACAAGTTCAAGTCATGCTACACACCGGTGAAGACTAGTGATTAGTAGCATTCTCCTGAGATGTTATTATGACTTTGTAGAGTTACTTTATATATTATTTGTTTCATCATTTCATATATGCTAAGCGCTTGAATGTAACATTAATATAGAACTATCCTTTAAAATACACATTTATTTGAAGAAAGATACTTGAAATCCATTTTCATTGCAGTGGGACCCTCTACATTTATATACTGTACATTTAGCCTAGGAATCTCTATACCATTAATGCACCACAGCAGAATGATCAATCCTTCAGGGACAGAAGCACAGGGTTTAATTTGCATTAATATGACAGAGAGCAGCAAAACAAAGAAACAAACAAAAAAAAGTTTCACACAGCATTTTCTCATTTAGAAGCACTTGTGTTCCACAATTTAATAGATGTCACTTCATAATGAATGTTAATTGTATCCTGTTGAATTTCAGCTGAACACTCTTCAGCACAGGTGGCCTGAATTTAGCTTGATTTTGACTTTGTGAAGTATGTAGCACAATCTGAAAACTCCTTTAAAAAAATAAAATTTTTAATATACCTATTAGCATTTCTTCTGTTAAGAACAGCACTGCAGAAAAGTGAATGCTGTCCCCACGCTACAGAGAAAAAAAGACCCACAACTTTTTTTTTTTTTTTAAATAGTACTCATAATTTCAAAATGTATCAAGTGCTTTCCATGGGGAAAAGGGAGATCTTCACTTTGAAAACTAAGGTAATTCTAGAGATATGACAAGCAAAAACAAGTTTAAAGTTTAGTTCAGTTTAAGATTGGCTCCTGGTCAGTCTCCAAAGATACAAGTAATTCTAACAAATCACTGAGCTGCACCTTTCACCAAAAACAGTTCCTCCTTTACGTTATCAACATTGCTTTTGGAAAAATAACAGCTTAGTTGCTGATATGCATAATATCTTAAGAAACCAAATTCAAAGATTACTTTCCTCAGTACCTACTTCTCACTAAAAACATATCTTGCAAATGTCAGAGCTATTCAAAAGGCCATTGTTCCCTTTTTCATGAGGAAACGCATAAAATAAGGAGCGACTCCATTCCAGTCTTGCCTCTTGCAAAGAATCTGTAAAATCTCTCCTTTGAACATTGGATGGAGAGGCATGGGGAGAGAGCGCAGCTTAACAGTCCTCAGAGAGGGAGTCTTCCGTTCAGCATTTAGGGCTGAACACATTTTTTCTCTTCTCAAAGACAATCTTCCACCCATTGGTTGTTCCTAAAGCATACCTTTCCTTCTAAGGAGAAGGGACAACTATAAATCCCTTACCTTGTGTCTGTGCCATGCCTCTCTCAGCCCATAGTAGTGCCTGTTAGACCAGTACTTCATACTAGGAATGGGGTGCAAACCATGATTTCCCCACACTTTGCTTTGCACAGTGTCCAGGAGACAAAGAGTCAACTCCATTTTTGCTTCTTCTAATGACCTGTTACCGTCACTGGACACTGAACTGGAGCTGCCATTACCAAAGTACCCACAGCACATCAGGAGATTCATTTCATGAGTCAGTGGGAAAGTGAGTCCTATGATGCCCACCAGAAATCTCTGGTAAGTATGTCTACTGACAAGAATAACTCTGTGCAAGCCTGTGCCCTTAAGTAACACTGAAGGATTATTGACTTAATCAGGCAAATATACATTTGAGAAATGTTTTTAAAAGATTCTTACTGGCATGATGGATTTTTAACTTGTCCCTTTGGAACATCTGAAAGAATGTCTTGGTATAAAACATGTGCACCTCACTAAGATGTTGCTGGGATAAGAATATTAACATTACACAGCAAAACGCAAGCAGCACATTCTCCACAGTACTATTATGCACTGAGAGGTGGTTTCCAAAGTGAAGCTGCTGGATTCAGAAAAAGCAGCACTCAATGAAAAACATCAATTCCAAACATGCACAACAGCAAAACTATACCAGAAGGTTTTCGTACCATACAATTACCCTTTCTGCCCCCCTCTACACTATCTTATGAGGACTCAACCACTGTAGCACTTACCCAGCCTCCTTCTGCAACAGCCTCCCACCTGACACCTCTAACTAAAACTGAAATAATATTACCCTTACAGCTATTGCAGGAGATGATGCAAACAATGCTCACACACAACCCCCCCGACCATTCTTCTTCAAACAGCAGCACTCCTCCTTCTACCCAGCAAAATGCCAGAGCACAGATGGGACACTCACAAGGTCACTAAGGCTAGATGTGCAGGCCATGAGCATAAGCGAGCAGAAGAGGAAGTTGTGCCCTCTGGATGAAAGGGGAAGGTAATTCCAGCTCCATGATGCCTACTGTGGGTTAACACCCAGGAGGTTCACGCCCTAGCCTGCAGCAACAGTGTATACCAGCTGAGAAGCAGGAGGCAAGGAAGACAGGGACCCAAGAGGAAGAATGTTAACCACTGGTATGACAATGCTTTTTGCAAGGTGCTGTACACACACAGAATTATCCAGCACAGGATAACTCTCAGACTACTTTGATAACAATCCCAAGTTTTCACTTTGCAGAATTCTCACTGTCATTTCCTGGAAAGGTCAGATAAAATCAGGCAGAGCTGACCAAATGTATCGGGGCATTATTAAAAATAAATGGGTAGAAAAAAAACACCTTCTCTTTAGAGAATCATTATGACAGCTGTTCCAATTATGTTTTGGAAGCAATGAGAAAAGCTGTGCCAATATTCTACTGCAAGCAGCTAAAGTAGTTTTGCTTTGTTTTGTTCTCAGAGATCTTTGACATGTTGAGGTTCTACTTCCAGCTCAGTTTTCTCTTAGACACTTTCTTGTCACAACTGCCTGAGATTAGTGGCAGGTCTCTGGTTAAGTGCTCTTTGAAAAGGTCATTGCTGTTTTCTCTTACGGAAAAAGATCTGAAACTATTCCTAACATAGGCACTAAAGAAACTCCTGTTCAAGTCCATTACAGGTATTAGTCAAACCTGTGAATTTATATTTTCAGAAAGCCTTCTTAAAATGGTCATATGCCAAAGCCTTTATCATCCTAAGGGCCTACAGCTCAATACACCCTTCATTCTTTACAGATAACACGTTTAGCATACATAGACAGCTAGTTCCAACCAGGCACTAGCATCTCTACTAACAAATTACTACGTTTAATCCCCAATGAAACAAGTGCAGCATTATAACAGCACAAAATGGAGTAATTTACTCTTAAAAAGTGACTGTTAGTTGTCTTACCTGAACATACGCAGGCTGTTTTTCAAGAATCAAGTCTGCAACTTTCTTAGATACCTTAAAAAGAAGAATATTATATGGGATACATAGCAATCTCAATTAAGTAGGCCATCCCTATGCTGAAGTTCTACAAGAAGTTTGTGATTCCGTATCATTTAGTTCTGTAGTTTTCCAATTTATTAATAAATATGCCACAACAAGGTAAAAAATCCTAAAAATGACAATCAGCTTTCCTTAGGAGCAAGAAAAGAAAAATGTTTACAGTTCCATCTAGGAATTAGTGGGCATTTTTAAATTAATCCCTTACCTCTCTGCTTGTTAAGGAACACGCTAGAATAGAAAACAGAAATAATATGGGACACTGCAAGTGTTTACATTCTGCTTATGCTACTGCTAGAGTACAAATTTAAGTTAACCATCTACCGTGGAGATCTAAGCAAGCCATAAGCACACCTACCTTTCAGACTGATATTGTGTTAAATAAAATCCATGTCAAAATGAATATTCACCCTGTGAGCATTATACCCTTTCTTTTGCACACAGAACATGCATATTTTAAAATTTTCTCCATTGTTCTGAATGAAAAGTGGTGGAATGCTACTGAGAACTGCTGTCTCTACTGAATTTAAAAATGGGATTGCTTCCTTGATCAGTCTCTTGTGCACACACAAGCTTTAAAAAAAAATCCAACACTAACAGTCTAATAAATGTAAGCTTGACACTAGTGTGTTTTGTTTCATTTTTCAGCAGGGACTACAAACATAGTTTCAAACATGACAACAAAATTATTGGTATTGCTCTATATTCTTGGGGAACAATACTCCCAGAAATGAGAATAAAATAAAACTGGCTGTGACAGTCAGCCAGCCCACAATGCGCTACTGGGGAAGAGAGATGAGGAGATTTTTATGTATCTCACTGCTTAGTCAAATATAGCATGAAGCTGGGATCTTCAACCAGCATTCCTGTAACAAACTTACAGTGGCTCCACCAGGTCAGTTCCCATCCTCTGGAAAAGCACCTGCACACAAATGGTCTTCAAAGTACCCTGATATCATCAGCTGGCAATCTGGACAAGGGGCATACAACTAGCTATGCTTTCCTCCTTCCATATTAAAAAATGGCCAAAAATCACGAAACAATTTTAAAACCTCTTAGTTGTTCTATAAATAATAGAGCTTTCTTCTGCAGGACAGCAAAAGAACCACTCCAGAGCAGAGTGGGGGCAGGAAAGGATGTTATCAGGCCAAATGCTACACAAGCCTACATGACCTTGGGGCTCTAAAAAAGCTTTGTTCACTGCAGAGTCTGTATCCTGTGAAATTTTTACCTCCCTTTTCCAACCTGTTCTTCCCACTAGCGCTGTACCTGTAAAAGATTTAGGACAGGGATATAACTGCTAGTTACACATTGCACTAGTACAAGTCTAAAAGTTTGATTCTTCACTGTTAAGGGGATTCATCAAGCAGTACACAGGAATAAAAGACGCATTTCATTTTCAGTTTTTACACTTGTGCTGGTTTTGGCTGGGATAGAGTTAATTTTCTTCATAGTAGCTAGCATGGGGCTATGTTTTGGATTTGTGCTGAAAACAGTGTTGATAATACAGAGATGTTTTAGCTGTTGCTGAGCAGTGCTTACACAGAGCCAAGGCCTTTTCTGCTTCTCACCTCACCCCACCCCACCAGCAAGGAGGCTGGGGGAGCACAAGAAGTTGGGAGGGGACACAGCTGGGACAGCTGACCCCAACTGACCCAAGGGGTATTCCAGACCATATGATGTCATGCTCAGCATATAAAGCTGGAGGAAGAAGAAGGAAGGGGAGGACATTCAGAGTGATGGCATTTGTCTTCCCAAGTAACTGTCACGTGTGATGGAGCCCTGCTTTCCTTGGAGATGGCTGAGCACCTGCGGGCTGATGGGAAGTAGTGAATGAATTCCTTGTTTTGCTTTGCTTGCGTGTGCAGCTTGTGCTTTACCTATCAAACTGTCTTTATCTCAACCCACGAGTTTTCTCACTTTTACGTTTCCAATTCTCTCCCCCATCCCACCAGGGAGGGGGCCGGGGCAGGGGTGCAGTGAGCAAGCAGCTGTGCGGTGCTTAGTTGTTGGCTGGGGTTAAACCAAGGCAGCACTGCTTTTGTTTGTTTTGCAAGTTCTCAGTTACCCTTGACTAATAACAACTTCAACGCTGTCAAGCATCTGCCACAGCCATATGTTTTTTTTTTTCTTTCCCTGAACATAGTGATACTACTATTCTGAGCTTCCAAGCTTTCCTTTCATTTGGATGAGCGATATTATCCCAGGTTACTTCCATTCATTTCCAAATTGTCCCATCCCTTTTGGCATCTTCCATACAATTGTGTGATTCTTAACTTTTGGTATCCAGAATTGCAATTGCTAGCAATGAATGTGACTGCAGTTATCAATGCATGCAAACAACAATGTTCTTTTAGAGAACCAAACAATTTTCTCTCTCCTAATCACATCAGGAAAAAAATATTTCATCTCCTCAAGAAAAAAAAGATACAGCTGAGGATATCAGTAAACTAATTAAGTCAAACAGACATAGAACAAAAAAGCCTCCTAATTCAAATTGTCTGTACCAAGTTGATTAGACAAATTAAAGCTATGATACACATATTAAAGAAGTCTTGAGTGAGTTGAAATCCATCCAATGGAATGGAAAACTGTAATGGGAATCCTACAGAAAATACGGAGTCTATAGTGACCCCAAAACCAAAGGCATGACCAAGATCAGCTGTGCAAAAGCAGATAGTAACAGTCAGTGAAAAGTGGAAGATCAGAGCTCTATCACCTGTAATTCAGTCATTTGAGTGCTTTGTGTTACCAAAATTTAGAAGCTGGAATTATCTCTGAACCACTACTGTAAATTCCTATGCCAACTATAGATACAGGCACTGAAGTGAAAAAGGCAGCACCTATTCTTTTTCAAAAGCAGAGGTATTGTGGGATCTGTCAACAGACTTCATGAGTCCTCTATCTAATAATCTATTCACAATCAGCATTAAAATATTTTCGGGACTGAACTAACAACGTACAACATTCTGCAGTACAGTCTTGCATGAAGGACACTAACGTCCTTTAAGAGAGACAGCAATCTAAATGATACATCACAAGATAAATGGACAATAATTGAGACAGGAGAAGAAAATATGCAACAGTCTCTCACACTCACCTGGAAATACGACACAAGGACATGATATACAGCACACAAGAAATTTTAGCAACTTGGCACATGCCCAAGGAAGAAAATAAATCCAAGCAACAATTCCTTCCTATAGCAGAATCAATTGGACTAGATTAAGGAAGACACAAGAAAGGCCCAATCCCGACTGGGGAGGGGTGTTGGGGGAAGAATTGGACACGTTTGTTGTCCAAAGTTTTGGCTTTGAGAGTTTTTGTTTGTTTTCTAAAAGAAAGACACATCTGGGCCACATTCACTGGAAACCTTGTGCTCAGTTCTCAACCCTATTATTCATTAGCTTCCTGCACTTTCCAGTTCTCATGTTTCAGCAGCAGTTATGCACTGAGATTACTCCCCCAGCTGCAGCCAGTTCCCATCATGCAGGCAGAATGGCCAAGACACTGACAACAGGTATTAGGATTATCCAGCAAATCTCAGTGAAGTTGTCTCTCAGTCTTGAGTGTATGTCCTTGCAAAACTAGGTCACCATCAGATGTCCTCTTACTTTAAAAAACAAAACAAAACAAAACAACAACAAAAAACCCCAAACAAAACAAAACAACAACCAAAAAAAACCCCACAAAACCAAAAACCTCCACCCACTTTCAACTTCTTCCCTTATACCTCTTGGTGAGAAACATGGAATATTCATTTGCTCAACTTCTCACTAATACTTTACAAAATTTCATAGGTTTATTCTGGCATAAGCAGTCTTAGGCAGAAGGAACTTTTTCTCTATGTATTGTTAATGACCCAATATTCTCCTTCTATACATTTCATTCATTCAAAGACATGAATTAGGATTATTACTGTTATTTTACTTGCAGGTACTCTCCAAATGCCACAGTTAATACATTCATTTCCTGTACCATATTACTGATATTTAAAAGAGCAATGAATCAATAGTTAATGTATGAATAGAAAATAAAAAAGCCTGAAAGGTAACAAGTACCTTTCAGAAGCTGCAATTATGATTTCCCCCGTAAATTATAGTTATTACTCTTGTTTACATTTCATTTGTTTCATTATGTAATAACTCTGTACCAGTATTCACTAGAAACCCTTGTTGACGATTAACAAATTGGCAATGAAAAAGAGGAGAGAAAATAGCAACTCTAAGGAAAGAGTTTTTAAAACATTTTGTTTTACATTGCCAGAAATACCTCAAAAAAAGAGATACTACTGCACTATTCAGCACTGTGTTGAACATTACTTTTCTTGCAATACACAGGAAAAGCTGAACATTCAGAAAATCACATTTCTAAAGAAACAGTTAGCACATTTTCTCCTTGTTACAATATTTATCGCCAAGATATACTTCCATGATTTCACATGATGATATGATTTACTGATATGATTTTCCACTATAAAAGCACACAAAATAACATTAAAACAAAAATGCTTAATATCTAATGTTTAAGAAATCAAAACTTTTTCAGTTACACTTCTGGCTAGACTTATAGACAATACAACAAATTGCCTGAGGGTAGAGGAAACAACTTTACTTACAGCAGCTTGCTGTTGTTTTAATTTGTCTCTGTACTCTTCCAGTTCTTGAAGACTAAGTACTGGAGGAAGCCTCTGCATGTAAACAACAAATTAAATTCAGTGAGAAATTAAAGGATGTTAAATACATACGTAATATTAACTAACCAATCAATTCCATTAAAGAAACATTGTTATTGCTTCTGCAATCTAATTTGCAGAATTAATCCACTATTTCAAATGATGGATACTGAAATAAATCAGTGTTAAAATAAACAATGTGTTATCATAATTACATCATATAATATCGTAATTACCTCAAAGTTACCTTATTTTAAGCCATATATGTATACCCCCAACCCCCCTAATCATTGAAATTATGATGTCTCAGTCAGTTTGCTAAAAAAATACCCAAAATACAGAACAGATTTTCTTTTTTCCTCCAACTATTTTGGCTTTTTCACTGTAGTTTAAATTATGAAGTGCCTGTTAGCACAACTGATACTAATTCTACCATGTTAAAAGAAAGACTCTGTACCAATACTATATGCTAGAAGCTCCACAACCGCAAGATGAGGCGGGAGGGTACAGTTTTGTATTAATGCAAGATATAAGAAACAAAAGGAAAAATAGCTCATTGAAAAAAAAGCATACTTTTGACCCTCATTTTTTGTTACATTACTGTCTTTTCTTTTAAGAAGAGAGCTTACCTCTAACTCATATTTTACAATATCAAAGGAATCATTGGAAAAATAAACTTCTTCAATGCTGTTAATTATTTCTTGCTGAGCTTGAGGATCAGTTGGTTCTTCACGTAGTTCTCTGAGCTCCTCCTTCACAAAACAAAAAAGGATTTCCATGATCTAATATCACATCCTAACAAGAACAATGTTTTACCATAACAAACACTTTTCAAAAGCCATTTACAACATTAATATAAGAAGCAATGGCAAAGAATAGAAAGATCAGTACACTGCAATTTGTTCTTCCCATTACAAACAGTAAGATATTTAAAAATTCTCAAAGAACATAGTGCAGACTCCAGTGTTGCAGATCGCTTAAACACTTCTTCATCAATACATTTATGGCACAAATGCATTTTGAGTCCACAGTTTTTTCCTCCTAAAGTTTAGAAATTCTCATAATAAACTAAATTGGCAGGTTATTTCTCCAGAAGCAAAAAAAACCCACAAAAACATAACAAATAAAACCCCAATTTTTTAAACCAGAAGAACCATCTTTGTAAACCTAAGGTAGATAGTGTCACTACAAACGTGTAACTTTTCAGTTCAGCCCTCAGAATTCACTGTAATAAAAGCTGTGCCTTTAAATACTTGAATTTTTTACAGGCAAAACCAGAACAGATCTGCCTTCTTTGCACAAAATTAACAGATTTCAGATTTTTCTCCGACTAGCAGGGTGGTCTAAGCAGAGATGTGCTGTCAGCTTTCTGAAAGCTAGTATTAAAGAGGTGCGCATCCACCTCTCCCTGCTGTCACGATCTCCCCGGAAGGTCTTCTCAACAACCCAGCTGCTTCCACTGGTTGCAACAAACCAAGGACTGAGCCTGAGCCTCATCTTCCCCTCTTATACTGGACATTTCAACTAACACTAGCCCTCTCCTGGAGGCTGTTCCCCCCAAAGGAATGAAAATCTTTTATCAGAGACTGAAAAGGGAGAAATGCCAGGATATTCTTTCACCAAAAATCAATATAAAATGGATCAAATTGCTCGATATTGGAATTTAATCCTGATAAAGCGATCCAGCAGACTGAGTGTCCCATAAAGACCCCAAGCTTTCCAACAATGCCGAGTTGTTACAGTGGGACAAGATGCTGGCATTTTCATCACCAAGAGCTCAAGGGCTTATTTCACCAGCTAGAGGCATCAGATTTTAGATTTATTGACTAAACAACCACTAACTTGCTTATTTTGTACATCAATTGAAATAAGGTCAACGCGTGCACATTATGCAGCAAAGCGACATTTTCAATACAAAGCAAGGTTCTGTTTCTCTATGGAATTAGAGGTAGCCAAGGGGTGACGAGTGAAGAGTTTGGAAAAGCATCAGAAGGAGCTGCTGCTCCTCTAACATACCTCTCGCAGAAAAAAAAGAAAAAAAAAAGAAGGGGGGGGG